ACACATTGTCCAGAGAGAACAGTTGCTGGAGAAGGATGTCATGCTGGGTAAGGTGGAGGGTCAGAGAAAAAGAGGAAGACCCCCAACGAGATGGATCAGCCAGGTGACATCGTTGATGGCGTCAAGTGTGGCGGCGGTAGTGACATTGGCCCAGGATCGGACATTGTTTCGTTCTGCTGTGCATGGGGTCGCTATGAGTCGGTTCCAACTCGATGGCACCTGACAACAACAACAATGTAAAAAGTTAAGGTTTTCTTTATAAAAGAAATACTCTATGATGATTATGGGGGAGGGAGTGAGGGAAAATTATTCACGGGCCTTCCTTATCACCAGTTTAACATTGGTGACAGCGAAGGCAATATACAGCAAGAGGAAAGTTGGCAGAGAAAGATGAAGGTAGCAGGATACAGGGAAGAATGAAAGAGTTAAAGTCACTAGAGGCAAATACTGTTAACTGATGGCACATGGAAGGGATTGCAATCATTGTAATGAAGCAAAGGATATGATTTGTTGAATGTAAAACTGATGATCTATCTGCTCTATAAACCTTCACTCAATTCACGATAAAAATTTTTAAAACTAACAGTGCAGTTGCTGGACCCTGAGAGGCAAAATTCCGGGGAGCTCCTGCAAGTCAGTGAGCTCAGGAGATGGGTGTGTCGGGGGATGTGACAGCAGAGTTCCGGCCCCAGATGGAGTCCCTATCAGTCTCGGTGTTAGGTGTTACCGATGTACAGGGCGCGGGTTCTGGAAGCGGTTCCTGGAGGTCCTTGATGGCTCTGGTTTCAGGGTCTGTTAGGACCACAGGGCAGCTGGGGGCAGGGGAACTGGTTAAATGCTGGTCTGGTGGCTCTGTGCGGGTTTTGTAGGTCTAGAGCCAAGTCCACCTGAATACCCAGGCACCAAAGCGACACAGCTGGCCCTAGCCTCACACTAGCATGACTCCCAAAGAGCAGGACCTGTGCTGGGGGTAGATAAGGGTGGGAGCTGACCACTCCTCTGGTCTCCTGGAGAGCGTGGGAAAAAATGAAGGAATCACAGGTTTTCTGTTGCCTGTGTGACCCTGCTTTGCCAGGTCACCTGCTGCTGCCAGAGCTGTTCAAAAGATGGTCATGCTACTACGTCTGGCCAGCCAGTCCCCAGCCTGTCTCCCTCTCTAGCCACCTCTGCTCAGCTTCTCCTTCCAGAAAGCACTCGGTCCACGTCTTTAACCTTCCCTCTGAAGTCCAGGCTTCCCAGATCGTCATCTGTGTCTGTTTGGCCTCTCATTTGGTTAGGTCTCAAATTTTCATCTGTTTCATTTGGTCTCTCATTTCTTTGTTGTGGAGTTCTGGTGTGGTGCTGTGGGATAATGTGCTGGGCTGCAAGGTCTATTTGAACCGGGAGGTCGGCAGTTCAAATTCACCAGCTGCTCTTCAGAAACCATATAGAGGGTTGCTATGAGTCAGGACCAACTCAATGGCACTGAACAACAACATCTTTGTTGTAGAGGGTCTATGTAGTATGTGTGCCTAATCCGACGTCTTGCTGGAAGTCTCCATCATAGCATAGCCGCTCTAGGCCCGAGTAGAACGGCTCCTTAGGGTTCTACTGTAAATCTTGCAAGGAGCCTCATCTGTCTCCAACAGAGCTGCTGCTTGGTTTGAACTGCTGACCATGAGGTTAGCAGCCCAATCCTTAGCCTACAGGTCACCAGGATGACTCCTTGTAAAGATTGTTGTTAAGCGCTTTCCAGTTGTTTCGGATTTACAGCTGGTCTGTATAGCAGTTGACGGAGCTGACCCACTGTCCTACTAGTTAGCAGTGCCTCACCAGGACTCTATAAAGATTATGTTGTTGTTAAAGTGTTCTGAGGAGATGCTGGTGGGTATGAACCCCTGACCTTGCAGTTTGCAGTCCAGTGCTTATCCTGTAGTGCCACACCAGCCTTAGAAAGTCTCTGGAGGAGTTCTCCTGTGCTCTATCAGGTTGCATGAATGCTGTGTGTCAGAATCCAGTGGAATTGATTGGTTTTTATCTAACTGTGGTGCTTACATGAACTTTATCTGAAGAATTTGGTCTTTGCCCTAGATACCTTGAGATTATTTCCTTAAAAATAAAAACAAAACACCTTGGAATTTAAGTGTCTCTGATAAAGATTCCAAACCACACCTAACCGATTAGGTAATGTGACTGTGGGGTGGGAACTGACCAGGCCGTAATGACCCATGTGTCAGATCACCTCCTGGTACCGATCTACCTCGGGAGGAGAAGCTAGAGTTTGTATTATGAATGGAGACTCCCAATAAAAGGCTCTGGACACAGAAGTTTAGTGGGCTTCTTGCTGCACATGGGAGGGTATGGTGCCCTTTGGAACATAGACATTCCACCTTGGGGACCCTTCCAGACTTCGTTCTACATGTCTTTGTATACTTTTTTGGCTACAACAAAACTGTAATCATTTCGTAGAGCCTTTTCCATTATCTGTGAGGCATTTCAGTGAATTATTGAACCTGAAAGAGCAGTGAGAGAGGCTAAGGTAACCTGGTGGGTAGAAGGAACCGCAAATTTGTAGCTAGCAGAAGCTTGGGAGACCATCCTACCTCCTCCCAAGCTTGAGGCTTGCATCCTGGAGGGGTAGTAGGGAAGCCCCAAAACTAGCCAGCAGGTCAGAAGTGAGGGTGTTAAATGGGCTACCAAACTTACAGCTGGCATCAGAAATCTTACGCCTACTTAGCGGTCTGAAGGACTCTGGCCTTTAACTTATAAGGTTGGACCCAACTTCAGGTGGTTAGGGTCAGAGGGAGGAAGGGGTGCTGCTAAAGCAGCTACTGTGAAACTGAACAGAGAAGTGTGTGTTTAGGAAGTAGATATTTGATTATAATTGATCATTTATGATCTACTTACCTAGCCCAGATCATACCCTGACTTCCAGACATGAATATCCAATTGTCTACATCACCTCCCTTATCAGATGCCCAGGGAGCACCTCCAATTCAATCATCAAAATAGAGTGCTCTCCTCCACTAGCCAACCTAATCCCACCCCATCTTAGTTTCCCATCTCCGTAAACACTGCAACAACCGACTTAGCATCCGAAGCCATGTCACCCCTAGTTTTTCTCCTCTCTTCAGTCCCCATACCTGACATGTCTGCAGGTCTTGTTGGTTCAACCTCCAAAATGTCAAAATGTGTCTTGAGCATCTGTCGTTCTCCTGCTTAGAACTTGCCAGTGATTTCTTACTCCTGACTGTGACACATAAGGCCCCTTCCTTCCTCTCCAGCAGCATCTCAGACGCTCTTCTGCTTGTCTGCCATGCTCTAATGACACCGACCTCCTCTCTGGCCCGTCAGCAGGTCAGTGCCTTTCTGACTGGCGACCTAGGACTTACAGTTCCCTCGGCCTGGAACATGCGTTCCTTAGCTTTGCCTTGGTGACTTCTCATCCTTCAGGTCTCAGCTCAGAGCCTGTCCTGCCCTCTTACTCGAAGTAGGATGTTCTGATCCCTGCCATTCTAGTTAGTCTCTTGTATTACCATGTTCCACAAAGTGCTCATCACCATGGGATGTTAACATGTTTAATGGTCCTTAGTGTCTGACTCCATCACAAGAATGTAAGCTCCAGGATGCTAGGGACCGTCCCCATATTACTTGTTACTGTGCCCTCAATGCCTCATACATTAAAGGCACTTCATAAATACTTGGGGTTTATGACTGAACTGAACGTGGGACACAATGTACAGAAGAGGAACCCCCAAAACACTGGAGCAAGCATGTTGTTGTTATTGTTAAGTGCCAACAGATCGGTTCCAACTCATAGGAACCGTGTATAGGGTTTCCGAGGAGCGGCTGGTGAGTTTGAACCGCTGACCTTGCAGTTTAAACCAACCTTGAGATCAGTGCAGTATCCTGCAGTGCCACACCAGACATGAGGTGGGCACTTAACCCTGAATGAATGAATGAATGAACGAATGAATGAGACAGTGAGTGTCGTCTTAAGTATACCTCAGATATAGAGCAAATGGTAGGCTTTGCTATATTCGTTTGAAGACTCACTTTTAATAGAATAATTCAAGACTTTGAATTTTGCTGTCAAAACTATATTGACTTTTAGTAAGTTTGTGTTTCCTTTCTGCTTTATTATTGAAGTTCCTACACCAGCAATGCTGAGTAAGACCAAACCTGGGCTTCCTACTCCTTCTGAAGTCTTAACTGGGCCACCAAGGTAATGCCTCCTTCTGAAGTCCTCAATGGACCTCTCTCCTGGACATCTCTGGGTCCAAGAGGCCAGTGAAAGATGAAGACAAGCCCTAGTTCCCTCCTTGGAGGACTGGCCCTGGGCCCTTCTAGGGACATTGGGCTATCTGCACCCAGATGGTTCTGTGCACAGCCATGTGCAATCACTGCAGAGCACTGGACGCCTTCTTCCCACAAAAGGAGTGGTCAGCTTGGAAGCCTTGGCCACTTAGACACAGTTCTCTGGAGGGCAGGCTGACAGTGCGTGTGGGTCAAAAGTCTTAGCCGTGCGCCCACTCTGAACCAGGTTTTCTTGTGAGAATTTATTTTAAAGAAAACTAAAGTGTACAAAGATGGATGCACGTAGGTGTTCATCACACCATTGTGTGTAATCATGTGAAATCGATAACAGCCTGCCTACACTATGACTGAAGATGGATGAAATGATCAAGATCCATCTGTATATAAAAATGAAGCTGTAGGTGCCAAAGGTATAAATCATGAAATTCTCCCCCTGAGTGTTAGAATAGGGGTTGTATATTCCCCACTCCATATAAAAATGTCTGCCCACTCAGTGTCTGTAACTTTTACAAAGCTGATAATTTTAAGTTAGCAACAATGTATGCTCATATAAGATAGAATCATGTGTGATTTCTATAGTTTCTAAGTATTTTACCATAGACATATATTGGAAAATGTATTTTATTAGAAAATAAAATAAAGCCTCTGGAAATAAGAAGGTATCATGCATTTCTCACCTCTTTGATTGTTTCAGGTCTAGCCCCATGGCGATTCCACATGATTCAAATGAAGCTTCCTATTTACTGCCTCCAAATGAGGAAGCCTGGGGGGAGCGAGGCATTCCTGACTTTGTCTATGGGCTGGAGGAACTGCTAGCAGGAGGGGTTCAGTGGCCCAGGATTGCAGCTGGCCTTCTGGGGACTTTGCCACTGTCTCGCTTTGACTCTGCAATCTGCTCTGCCTGGAAGCAGCGGATGGAGCTGGGCCTGTTTCGTTACCACCTGGGGGAATTACAGACCCAAACCCTCCCTGGTGCTGTGGGTTTTGTGGCTCAGCTAAATGTGGAGCGAGGGGTACAGAGAAGGCGCCCCCAGAGCATCAAGAGCGTGAAGCAGTCATTTGACCCAGAACAGTTTAACTTTAACAAGATCCGACCAGGAGAAATTCTCTTCCGTTTGCACCGAGAGCCCAGCCTGCCTGGTGCTACCCAGCAAGAGGACATCCTTGTGATGATCAACGTCAGCCCCCTGGAGTGGGGCCACGTGCTGCTGGTGCCTGAACCGGCCCTGGCACTCCCCCAGCGCCTACTGCCAGGTGCACTGCGGGCCGGGATCGAGGCTGTGCTGCTCAGCCGACACCCAGGCTTCCGGGTTGGCTTCAACAGCCTGGGTGGCTTGGCCTCAGTGAACCACCTGCACCTGCACGGCTACTACCTGGCCCACAGACTGCCCGTGGAGGGGGCGCCAAGCCAGCCCCTGGACCCTGGAGGCCTTCTGCATCTGCTTCTTGCTCCCCCAGCTCCTGGCTTCCTCTTTTACACTAGCAGCCCAGGACCTGACTTGGAAGCCTTGGTAAACAGAGTGTGTCGGGCTACTGACTACCTGACTGACCATGAGATTGCCCATAACTTATTTGTGACCCGAGGGGCCCCTCCTGGAAAGACTTCGCCTTCCTCAGCCCTCATGGGGGTCCGAGTCATTCTCTGGGCCCGGAAGTCCAGCTTTGGAATAAAGGAAGGCGAGGCTTTCAACGTTGCCCTCTGTGAGTTGGCCGGACACCTCCCTGTCAAAACATCCCAGGACTTCAGCAGCCTGACAGAGGCAGCTGCTCTGGCTCTTATCCAGGACTGTCTGCTGCCGCCAGCCCAGGCAGAAGAGGTCCAGGCCGCACTGGTGGCCCTAGTGGTCCGGGAGGAGCAGTAGTCTTTCCCGAGGTATTTATTTTCTAACTGATCTTAGTTCCTTTTCAGAGTTCTGCCCGCATGACCACTGGGCATTGTCAGGACTGCCTACTCACCTCGCTCAGCCCAAAGGAGGACATAAAGAGCTAATATGAACTCCTTAAAAGAGAGAGCCGTTGGAATAAACGTAACAAATGAGTCTTTATGGCTATAGCTGCTGCTTCTCTCCTGTCTTCTTTTACCCCAGAGATGTCTCACCCAGTGTTAAGAAGGTAGTGTGTGCAAATGTTACAGATTCCTGACTTTAAAAGAAGACTATGGTGTTGACTGGGCTTTTCCTTTCATAGCAAGTCTTAGGAAAGTGACGGTGTAGGTGCCTCTAGCATGTGTGTCTGCCCCCCTCATTCTGTTCTCACCGCTTCTTCCTTTGTGTACCACTGACTCATAGTTCTTTGTCCCTTCCTTACATTCTGCACTGCTCCACTCCCAGATACCTTACTTACATCACATCCTTCATCTACCTGGCTCTAATACTGAAGCCAAGGTATCCTCACAGCAACTTTAAAGTTTCAGGGTCTCTTAACACCCATTTAACAAATGCAAAGAGGGAGGCTGACAGAGATTTGGTAAGTTGCCCAAAGTCAGGCAACTCCTAATGGTAGAACACGGATTGGCACACAGGTAGCCAGATTCTAGAAATGGCGCTGGGGCAGTTTACACTTGTGGTTGCATGATGGATGGTGCTATCCTTAACAGTCCATGGGTGCCCTCCTGGGTGGGGTCTTTCCCAGACACTTTCCAAGCTCTATAAAATCCACAGCTAAGTCCTAGCTCTTCATTTCCATCTGAGTCTGTCTGAGAAATGTGTATATCCTTTGCTTTGTTCTGTCCTGTTATTCCAGAGCTTTTCACAGTGGTTCTGGAAGAGATGTCAGTAGGTGGTATTGCACAAGAGTCAAACATGAAAATGCACCTATTGCTGTTGAGGTTGAGTCCGCTCCTCCTCACAGCAACCCCGGCTACTTCAGCATAGACCTGGGCTCCCTTGGGCTTTCTTGACCTTAGTCTTTAGGGAAGCAGATGGACAGGATGGTCTCCCATGGAGCTGTTGGATGGGCTTGAACCGCCCGCCCCTCAGGTAGTGGTTATGTGTTTGTCCTCCAGTGCCACCCCAGGACTCCTATTGGAGAGCTGTAAGTGACTCTCGGTTTTCTGACTCATAGCGACCCTGTACTTGTGTGTAAGGCACCCACTCTCCTTGGTGTTCCCTTGATTTTTTTCCAACAAAAGCAAAAGAAACCATGGGTCTGGATCACAACAGAGATATTTTCACTGCCACCACTCCTGCCCCAAGCATTTTGGGGAAAAAGATTGTTCATAAGGTAGAGAGGGGTCAGAGGAGGCTCACAGAGGGAGGTGGGGACTAGCTGAAAGGACCCCTGCTGGCCAGCCTAGCCACCCAGCAAAGATTTTGGCTCTTCTCAGCATTGGGGTCCTGGCCTGGTAAGAAACGTTTATGTAGAATTTTGCACAAATGTTTTCTATCCCAAAAGACGTGACACAGGCAAAATTCTGGGCAGGGATAAAGCAGAATATACACCCATAAGCCGTTTCTAAGAAAAAGTTTAACTTTTTATCAGAATTTTGTGGTCATTGTCTTTGTTATCTAGTACTGCTGTAACAAATGCCACAAGCAGTTATTTGTCCTGAACACAAACTTGGCCAAATTCCAGACTGGTGGTTGTTGTTGTTATGTGCTATGGAGTCAGTTCCAACTCATAGTGACCCTGCATAGGGTTTCTGAGGCTGTAAATCTTTAGGGAGCAGAAAGCCTCTTTTTCCCGCGGAACAGCTGGTAGTTTCAAACTGCTGACCCTGAGGTTAGCAGCTCAATTCGTAACCACTAGGCCCTTTCCGGACTGGTGGTGGTTTTTGTTACGTGCCGGGGAACAGCGACCCTGCACAGGGTTTCCGAGGCTGTAAATCTTTACGGGAGCAGAACGCCTCATCTTTCTCCCGTGGAACCAAGCTGGTAGCTTCAAACTGCTGACCTTAAGGTTTGCAGCCCGATTCGTAACCCCTACGGTACCAGAGCTCCATTCCGGACTGGTACTTAGGTCCAAAGATGAATGGTGGTGGTGATAGGAAATAGGTGCCAAAGCGGAAGGATTACAAATCCCATGAGGCATTATGACAGCTGCCAGGCAAATCGATGGCAAACGTTAGCGATCTCAGTTCAAGATGGCCACGGCTGCCTCCCAAGTGGGTGTGGTTCTTGGATGGCCCCGCCCCAAGAACACATCTCCAATGGGAGCCGCCCTCGTGTCCATGGCGACGGCGGCGGCGGCTGCCCGCCAGCTCTAGGAGGCGCCGCCGCCGCCGCCTCCGCAGTGATCTCCGAGCTAGGAGCTAGCCCCACGGGGGAGCGGGCTCCCTCTCGAGATCAGCTACGGCAGACTGCCCTGTGGAACAAAGAGGAGATCCTGGACGTCCAGCGACGCCCGGGAAGGAGAGGGAGTGAGGCAACAAGCGGACATGAGCGACCAGCTGAGCCCAGCCCTGGGCCCCTAGGGGCGGACCCAGCAGCCCCTCATTTCCCCTACGAACTTTTGGTGGGCAGTGTCCTCCATGGGTTCCCCATCCGCAGAGCTCAAGGGTTTTTAACCATTGGGTGCCTGACCCCTGTGTGTACACGTGGAGAAACTGAGTTCTAGGACAGGGAAACGGACGGTTTATAGGAGACCTTTGGTCTACAGCTCCATTTTTTAAATGAAGGTCTTCCTCCCACCCAGTGCTCCCAGCCAAAGCCCTGGTCCCTGTCAGCCCTGTTCTGCATACACCAGTGTACCGTATGGGATGATTCTGAAGGGCTGGGATTTGTGAACAGGGAATCTAATATCTCAGATAGGTGTCCCATAGCCCCATCTACCTACCATTCTGCAGTGGGATTGTTCTGTAAAAATCCTAAAGGTCCTTTGGGAGGATTACTGCGGCCTTTCTGGGGCCTGGAGGGGAGCTCTAATCTTATTTCATTCCCATCTACCTCCCCTCAGAATCTAAGAGAATGGAGCCGAGTACCTGTAAAACCAGTGAATCTGAGGAAGAGTATGCTGAGGAAGAGGAGTCTGAGGAGGAATGTGTTAAAAGGGAAGATAACATCCCTTTTAATCCTTCTCAAGAGGCACTCTCAAAGGCTGACTATAAGGCATTTGGGAATGGGGTTCCCTTATCCATCATAGCCAAGAAAATTCCAAAGAAACTCATAGCCCCAATGGACCCAGAGGACTTAGAAGTTGGGAGAAGAAAGAGAAAGCGGAAACGCAGGTATACGTTTCCTGGACCCCCTTATCTACTTGCGTTCTAGAAAGTTGCCCTCTGGTATTCCCTCAGCAGTTCAAGGGTTAGGTTAACCTACAAAATGAGAAAAGGGCAACATCACTAACAGTGTGGATTAACAAAAACATGAAAAAAAATTGGGGTTGGCTCAGTTTGGAATTTTCTTTCAGCATGTAAAAGCTGGTCTTTAAGCAGCTTCTAGAGGAAATGCAACACAATTACATTGTTGGGTGTCTCTTCATCTGGGTGTCCAGTAGTCCAGGGTTTGTCCTTCCTTCTCAATCTGTCTGAATTCTGTTATTCCTCTATTCCAGACCTCTATCCATCAACCTGACCAACTGCAAGTATGAGAGTGGTAAGCGGCCAGCTCGTCACCCATATCATTTTGTGCTCTTACTCTGGGGATGTTCCCCTAATCAGGCTCCCAGCCCCTGGATCTTGTCAGGTAAACCAGGGCTGGCTCATAATCTGTACTGAACTTCCTGGATGCCCCCTGGCTCAGCTACTGGTAGCTGAGACATCACTGTTCCAGTTAGCCTCAGCAGTAGTAAGCTAACAAGAAAAAAAAAATAGCCACAAGTTACTTCCCACCCTTCCCAGATTCACCAGAGATGAAAAGAGTTTTCTTGAGAAAGCTTTGAGGGGCCTCAGCAATTATGTTCTTTTCTGTACTCACCATCTCCTTTGTCCCCTCCTATCCTGGCATTTCAGAGCATGGGACCACTCAGAATGTGAGTTGCCAGTGTGAATTCTCCCTAGAGACGGCTCTGCAGACCCCAAACAGTCCTGATTGAGTGACAGGGAGAAACCCAGGGCTGTCAGGAGCCGAGAGCCAGGCTCTCATTCTCCCTGCCACAGAGTTTGGAAGGGCCCTGACAGCCTCATGAACTTGGAATTGTCACACTATGTCCCTCTTCAGCCTGCCATCCTGTCAGGTCTGTCCCAACCCAGCTAGTTCCTGGGCTTGTTGCTGGCGCCCAGGCTGGCACTACTGACCTCCCTATCTATACAGTGCGACGGGCAGCCCAAATGTGTGGCCTGAAGGAAGTGGGGGAGGACGAGGAGTGGACTGTATACTGGACGGACTGCTCTGTCTCACTGGAACGAGTCATGGACATGAAGAGGTTTCAGGTACCAACCTCCTGCTTCAAGATGCTAAAGGTTGAAGTCTCCCTCAGGAGGCCTTCTCCACCCTTCCCACCCATCCACCCCAGTCTGCCATTCATTGTGGCTGTCCCCCAGTGCAGAGCAAGACATTCTGCTCACATAGAAATAGCCTTCTCGTGGTTCTCTGGAGCTTCTAATATATGAAGAAAATGACTATTGGGCACACCCTACCTCATTATTCACTCTCCATGTCTGGAGATATCTGCCCATCTGGCCTCCTTCAGGGCAGGCGAGCCCATTTGAGGGAGAAGATGGGGAGATAGCTTCAAGGCTAGTACTAGTAGGGCCTCCTAATGAGTGTAAGCTAGCACCCCACATCCGCTAGGAAAATGAGGACCAAGGCCCATAAGAAAAAATATCACTTTCTCATGGTTTTTTTTTTTTTTAAATCTTCTTATTGGGTCTTTGTGGTGATTAGCAATAAAATCATTGAGTAGGGCCCACAGGCTTATTGAGGGGAGGAAGAACTAGGAAAGAAGCTGAGAAGACGAAAATCTGCTCCATGACCAGATTTGGGAGAGGACCCTAAGGGAGAACAGATGCTAGAAGCTTTCAAGAAGCTTCAAAGAAATAGCCTGCAAGGAGCAAGTATAAGATAATGACAACAGTGTTCAATGCCCTTGAGTGGGTTCCGACTCATAGTAACTCTGTATAGTTTCCAAGGAACCACTGCTGGGTTTGAACTGGCAACCTTGCGGTTTGCAGTCCAGTGCTTATCCTATATCACCACACTAGGACTCCAATCGTTGACATTTATGGAGGGTGTATTATATGAAGGAGCTTCAAAAAGTTTTTTTTTTATTAAACTTCCATTTTTTTTCTTTTAACCTTTCCATTTCCACAAGCTTTTTGAAGCCCATTCCTTTATCAGAATTCCTGAGTGATACAAATGGTTAACATGGTCAGTTGGAGCTACAACTGAGGCATCTCAGAAGAAATGGCCTGGTGAATGAAAGGTCTAGCCATTGAAAATGCGGTAGAGCACGTTTCCATTCCAACACACCCCGAGTTACCATGAATCAGATTTAACTCTACAGGAAATGGTTACTATAAGTCATCATCATTGTTGTTGTTAGGTGCCATGGAAGTCGGTACCAACTCATAGCAACCTCTGCACAAAAGAATAAAACACTGCCCAGTCCTGAAGTAACCTCACAATCATTGCTACGCTTGAACCCATTGCTGCTGCTACTGTACCAGTTTAGCTCATTGGAGGTCTTCCTCTTTACCTCTGACCCGCCACTTTACTAAGCATGATGTCATTGTCCAGGTTCTGATCCCTCCTGATAACATGTCTGACGTATGAGAGACAAAGTCTTGCCATCCTGGCTTGTAAGGGACATCCTGGCTGTACTTCCTCCAACACAGATTTGTTTATTCTTTTGGCAGTCCCTGGTACTTTTAATATTCTCCTCTAATACCATAACTCAAATGCATCAATTCTTCTATAGTCCTCTTCATTCACTGTCAGACTTTGGTATGCATGTGAGGTAATTAAAAATACCAAGTCTTGGGTCAGGCACACCTTAGTCCTCAAACTGATATCTTGAACACTTTAAAGAGGTCTTGTGCTGTAGATTTCTTGACTGCTGTTTCTATGAGTGTTGATGGTTGATTCGAACAAAATGACGTCTTTGACAACATCAATATATATATATATATATATTTTATCTTGCTCCATTTATCTTGATGTTATCTATTGGTCCTGTGGTGAGGATTTTGTTTGCTTTTCATTGAGGGGCAACCCATACTGAAGACTGTGGTCTTCGATGTTCATCAGTAAATATTGTAAGTCCTCTTTGCTTTTAGCAAGCAAGGCTGTGTCATCTGCATATCACAGGTTGTTAATGAGTCTTCCTCCAATTCTGATTCCATGTTCTTCTTCAGATAATCCAGCTTCCCGAATTATATGCTCAGCATACAGAGTGAATAAATATGGTCAAAGGATACAGCCCATGCTCACACCTTTCCTGCTTTTAAACCATTCAGTGTTCCCTTCTTCTGTTCAAACGACTGCCTCTTGGTCTGTTTACAGGTTCTTCATGAACACAATTAAGTGTTCTGGAATACTCACTCATTCTCTGCAACGTTGCCCATAGCTTGTCATGATCCACACAATCAAAAGCCTTTGCATAGCCAATAAATCACAGGTAAATATCTCTCTTAACAGATCTGCTTTCAGCCAAGATCCATCTGATGTTAGCAGTGGCATCTTTTATTCAACATACTCATCTGAATCCAACATACTCATCTGAATCCAACATACTCATCTGAATCCAACTTGAACCTCTGTCATTGTACTTTTTTTTTTTTTTTGTCAATGTACTTTTGCAGCCATTTTTTTAATTTAGCAAAATTTTACTTGCATGCAATATTAATGATGTTGCCCCATTTCAGCATTCTGTTGGGTACCTCTCTTTGGAATGGGCACAAATATTGATTTCTTCTAATGAGTTGACCAGGTAGCTCTCTTCCAAATTTCTTGGCAGAGGTGAGTGAGTGCCTCCAGTGCAACATCAGTTTGTTGAAAGATTTCAGTTTATAGTCCATTAATTCCTGGAGCCTTATTCTCTGCCAGTGCCTTCAGCGTACTTTGGACTTCTTCCTTCAGTGTCACTGGCTCTTGATCATATGCTGCCCCATGAAATTGTTGAACATCAATAATTTCTTTTTGGTACAGTGACTCTGTGTATTCCAGCCATCGTCTTTTGATGCTTTCTACATCATTCAATATTTTTCCCATAGAATCCTTCAATATTTCAAATTGAGGCTTGAATTTTTTCTTCAGTTCCCTCAGCTTGAGAATACTGAGCATGTTTTTGTTTTTTTGTTTTTCCTTTTGGTTTTCTACTTCCAGGTCTTTGCACATTTCATTATTATTTTTTACTTTGTCTTCTCTAGCTGCCATTTGAAATTTTCAGTTCAGCTCTTTTTACCTCCTCATTGCTTCCATTTGCTTTAGCATCTCTATGCTAGAGACCCAGTTTCAGAGTCTCTTCTGACATACATTTTGGTCTTTTCTTTCTTTCACGTCTTAATGGCCTTTTGCTTTCTTCCTGTATGATGTTCTTGATGTCATTCCACAAATTTCCTGGTCTTTGGTCTTTAGTGTCTAATTCATCAAATCTGTTTTTGAAATGATCTCTAAATTCGGGTAGGATATGTTCAAGGTCATATTTTGGCTCTTAAGGACTTGTTTTCATTTTCTTCAGCTTCAGTCTGAACTTGCATATGAGCAATTAATGGTCTGCTCCACAGTCTGTCCCGGCCTTATTTTGACTGAATATATAGAGTTTTTCCACTGTCTCTTTCCACAGATGTAGTCATTTTGATTTCTGTGTATTCCACCTCGTTAGTTCCATATGTATAGTCAGTTGTCTTTCATGTTGTATTCTATCTGGTGAGGTTCATGTATATAGTTGACTTTTATGTTTAAAAAAGGTATTTGCAATGAATAATTCATTGGTCTTGCAAAATTCTATATGTGATCTCCAGCATCATTTCTGTCACCAAGACCATATTTTCCAAAGACTGATCCTTCCTCTTTGTTTCCAGCCTTTGCATTCCTATCACCAGTAATTATCAATACATGTTAATTGCATGTTTGATCAATATTGGACTGAAGAAGTTGGTAGAATTCTTCAATTTCATCATCACTGGCTTTAGTGGTTGGTGCATAAATTTGAGTAATAGTTGTATTAACAGATCTTCCTTGTTCTTGTTAAGTGCCATTGAGTCGGTTCCAACTCATATCAACTCTATATAAGATTTCTGAAGAGCAGCTGGTGGGTTTGAGCTACTGACCTTGTGGTTCTCAGTCCAGTGCTGATCCTATAGCGCCACACCAGGAGTCTTGTAGGCATATAGACATCCTATCATACGCAGCATTGTGTACTTCAAGATAGATCTGGAAATGTCTTTATGATGATGAATGCAACACCATTCTGCTCCAATTTGTCATTCCGCCATAGTAAACCATGTGATTGTGAGATTCAAAATGGCCAATACCAGTCCATTTCAGCTCATAAATGCCTAGGATACTGATGTTTATGCATTTCAACAGACACTGTTAAGTGTCTGTGCAGACATACCTTGGAAAAATTGTAGTTTCTGTTGCAGACTACCACAATCAAGTGAGTATTGCAATAAAGTCAGTCACAAATCATTTGGTTTCCTAGCAACAACGAGTGCATATAGAGTTATGTTTATAAGTGTGCAGTAGCATTATGAAAAAGTTTGAAAATAATTAAAAAGTGACCCAAAGACATGAAATGAGCCAACAGACCTGCTCAGCACAGAGTCGCCACAGTCCTTCAATTTGTAAAAACGCAATATATGTGAAATACAGTGAATCAAAGCACAATAAAGCAAGGTCTGCCTGTACCTTCTTACTTCATGAAATCCTCACACACCCACCCTGAGGGGCAGATACCCTCAGTTACAGAAGACACTGAGTCTCAAAAGGACTGAGCTCACACCGCTGTAGTTAAGTGCCATGAAATCCGATGTGACTCATAGTGACCCCCTGCACAATGGAATGAAACCCTGCCTGGTCCTGTGCCATCCTCACAGCTGTTGTTACGTTTGAGCCCATTGCTGCTGCCACCACGTCAGTCCCTCTTATTGGGGGTCTTCCTCTTTGTCATCAACCCTACATTTATCAAGCATGATATCCTTCTCCAGGGACTGGTCTTTCTTGACAACATGTCCAAAGTACCAGAGATGAAGCTATCCTCACCATATGCTGCTGCTTCCCAACACTGGGCAATACCAAATAGCCAGGAGTTTCCATACAAAGCAAAGAAGCTCATACACTGTGGGGGCCCAGCAGTACTTGCCTCGGGTTGGCTCTGAGTTTTCTTTCTCTCTTGTATCCTTGGGACAATGTTCTTGAGCTTCTTTGCTTTGTACTATCTATCATGCATAGATTGTCCATATGGGACTAATCTCTGGTGATCTGTTCTTGTTAGTTACCACGGAGTGAATTCTAACTCATGGTAAGCACGTGTGTGCAGAGTAGAACTCCTTTCTAGAGTTTTCAAGACTCTGACCTTTGGAAGCAGGTCACCAGGCCCGTTAGCTTAGGCATCTTTGGGTGGGTTTCAACCAGCAACCTTTTGGCTAGTGGTCAGGTGCTCAACAGATTGTGCCACCCAAGATTCTCTGGTATTCTGCGGGTAGTTCTAAAATGGCAAGAAGGCCCAAAGTCCTGGCTAGCATACGTCCTTTCTCATTGACCCTCACTTCTTAACCTCAGCGTGGTAGAGGCCATAGAGGGAATTCTTCGCAAAGTTTCTGTTTTCAGCCTCAGGTAGTAATAGTTAAAGTGCTTTGACCCTCAGTCCTTCTCATGGCTTCTTGGGGTCCCCAGCTCCCAGGAATCATCATTTCTTCTGGGAGTACATACACTACTGGCTCTGTTTCAGAAAATCAACCACTTTCCTGGCATGACAGAAATCTGCCGCAAAGATCTGCTGGCTCGGAACCTCAACCGCATGCAGAAACTCTACCCGACTGAGTACAACATCTTCCCTCGAACGTGGTGCCTCCCTGCAGAGTGAGTGAGCCTGGCTTCCTCCACACTCTGAGGACTCACTGTCTAAGTTCCTCCAGACTCTGGCCTTGCAACCTAAGAAAGTCACAGACGGGTAGAAGTGGCATGAGAGAGCTTCAACTAGTCAAAGAAAAGTGGGGGTGAGGTCCTGTGCTCCACAAAGCATGGACTAGACAGCAGGAAAAACTCCACAGAAAGGGTCCAGGGGTAGCCATGGTGCATAGAAACCTTTTGACCAGCCTCTCTCTGTACACAGCTACGGGGACTTCCAGTCTTATGGTCGTCAACGGAAAACCCGCACTTACATCTGCAAGCCGGACAGTGGCTGTCAGGGCCGGGGCATCTTTATTACTCGAAATCCGCGGGAGATCAAACCAGGAGAGCATATGATCTGTCAGCAGTACATCTCCAAGGTGAAGGGTGCCTCAGGTCCGCCCTGTCTCCCAGCCCTCAATACCTGGGTACCTCACCTTTTCCTAAGCCAGAGGGAACCTGGTTTTAGGACCCTACCCCTTCTGTTATCCCTGGTATCTTGGAGGGAAATAGAGCCGTGGTCTTAGAGCCACCCTCTGAGTTTGAACCTTCTTAACCTTTTCACTTCCTAAATATGTGACTCTGCTCAAGTTTCTTATTCTTATCCATTTCCTCATTTGTTAAACGGGACTAGTAATCGTTAGCCACTTTGTGTGGTTAATGTGAAAATTATATCAGTTATATATTCCTAGCAATTGAAACAGTGATACCTAGTAAGCACTTCAAAAGCATGCTGTTATTTTCCCTTATGGACTTGCATGCTCTCAGCCGTTCCTCATTGATGGCTTCAAGTTTGACATGCGAATCTACGTCCTGATCACGTCCTGTGACCCTCTTCGGATCTTCATGTATGAAGAGGGCCTGGTCCGCTTTGCCACCATGCCCTATGTGGAGCCCAACATGAACAACCTGGTAAGGGGGCCAGGGTGGCATCCTCTCTTCTGCTATGGCATGAGTGCTAAGGTTCTATGGAGAAACCAGGACGAGAGAGGTTTGTTATGATCACGCATGACCCAAGAATGAAGCCTGGATTCATTCAGCACCTGGCTGGAAGGAGAGCATTTGGTGGGTGGTGACTAAGGAGAGTACATCACCTGGCGGAGCCCAGCACACCCTCTTACCCAAGAGCTTAGAGAACAGTCCTCAGGTGAAGTTTGGCGAAAAGTTGTTTCAAAGCCTTAGAGGGACAGGAGAGAAGCAATTCTGACCAGGGAGGGGTGATAAAAAGGCAGCAGAGGGCTAGAGCAGAGTGCTGCAGGACCCTTCTCTTCCCAGGATGACATGTGCATGCACCTGACCAACTATGCCATCAACAAACACAATGAGAATTTTGTCCGGGACGATGCCGTGGGCAGTAAGAGGTACTTACTCCCTCCTCTGGGGTTGTCCTGCTTCCTCTGCCCCTGAGCCCACAGTCTCAGCAGCCCAAGAAACTGAGCTGTCCAAGGAAAACTCAGCCTTTACATACTCTTGTACTGTGTCTCTCCTCCAAGTGCAGCCCACATTCTACCCGAGAATTAAGCCCTCCTCCAACCTGCTTTGTTGTTGTTGCCCTCCAGCCGATCGCGATCCCTGGTGCCCCCTTGTGTTCAGAGTGGAACTGCTCCATAGGCTTTTTTGATGGCCTTTCAGAAGCACATCCATCCCCAAGCCCATTTTCCCAGGTGTACCTGGGTAGCTCCCAACTGCCAGCCTTTCAGCTGCTGGTGGTGGTGATGTGCCATGGAATTGGTTCTGACTCATAGCGACCCTGTACAGACTTTCCGAGGCTGTAAATCTTTACGGGAGCAAAAAGCCTCATCTTTCTCCAGCAGTAGTTTCAAACTGCTGACCTTGTGGTCTGCAGCCCAATTTGTAATCACTACGCTACCAGAGCTCCTAGTAGAGTACAAAACTGTGCCTCCCAGGGGCTCCTCCAAGCAACTACTACTTGTTAAGCGCTGTTGAGTTGGTTCTGACCCATAGTGACTCTGTATAGGGTTTTCTGAGGAGCAGCTGGTAAGCTTTAACCGCCAACCTTGCAGGCCAGCGCAGCCCTTTAATGTACAAGGCCCTTAGGCACAGGAGTTGGGGTAGTATTAGGGAGCCCCCTGCTTTAGCCAGCTTCTGCTGATATAGAAGCAGGCCTTCCTCTGAGCACTGGATCTCACAGGAAACTGTCAACGCTCAATGCCTGGCTGCGGGAACATAGCTACGACCCCCGGGAGCTGTGGGGAGACATTGAAGACATCATCATCAAGACCATCATCTCGGCCCATTCTATTCTTCGTCACAACTACCGAACCTGTTTTCCCCAGTATCTTAGTGGAGGTACATGTGCCTGTTTTGAGATCCTTGGTTTTGACATCTTGCTGGACCACAAACTGAAGCCCTGGCTGCTGGAGGTGAGGATTTGCTCCTGACCTTATAAAATCAAGGTTCAGAGACCTCCCTGAACACACACCTGGGCTGAGAGTGCACTCAGGTGGTGCAATAGCAGCCCTGTGGGGGGGGGGGGGAGGATGGGAACACCTTCTGATTGACCGGCAGAAGGCATTAAGACCTATCCACTTTTGACCTGCTGAGCCAAATCTTGGCAGTCTCTGGCCTACACCAGGGGATGCAGTTTTTAATCCCACATATTCCCAGTGTGAGTAATTAAGTCTTTCCTTTAAGGACGCTGCATCGTAGAGTTGGGCTGTCTGATTTTCACTCACCAGGCTGTGAATTGATGGGGTCTCTCTGAGAGAGTCACTATGGCCTCAGAAGCCAGAGCTTCCAATAGCTGAGGTCACTGGAGGGGAATGACTCTCCTAGACCCTCCAGTTAGGCCTGCAAGAGACCACCACCTACTTAGGTGGTCTAGGAAAATGATTCCACCTGGCAGGTAAACCACTCTCCAAGTTTCACCACGGACTCACGTCTTGATCGGGAAGTGAAGGATGCACTTCTTTGTGATGCCATGACCCTTGTCAACCTTCGAGGCTGTGACAAAAGGAAGGTGCTGGAGGAGGACAAGCGACGAGTCAAGGAACGGCTTTTCCAGTACCACCAACAGCCACGAGAAGCCAGGTGCTTCAAGTGTTTGCCGTGTGTTTTGTCGTCTAACTTTGTCTTCTTTCTCTCCTGAAAGTGTAAGTCCTGCTCTAGATGGAGAACAAGACCTGGGACTGATTGGCTACCTATTATTTTTTTGCATAAACATTCACATGGTTCAAAATTCAAAAGATCAGCGAGTAGTCTCTTTCCCAGCCCTTTCCTCCAGCTACAAGTGCTCCATGGTGCATTCAAATTGCTGACCTTTGATAAGCAGCCCAACATGGAATCCTCTGGGCTGCCAGACCTCCTTCTCTGCTGAGACAGTGGCATAATTTACATGCTTTTCTGCACCCTGCTTAGCAATATATTTTAGGACTATTTTCATATTTGAATATAAGGAACTTTATATAGTTTAATGAGCTTGTTTTCTGTGGGTTTTTTTTTTTTTTAAACAAAGCTCTCCTAAAAACTGATTTCTGAGAAAACCTGTGAAACAGAGGGAAGAGTTTAGTCATTAAAAAATACAGGATTAATGAAATCAAAGGTGACGACTCATTGTTTTAATTATGAGATAGTTTCCAGACATGGTAGTTTGTTACCAATACTAAAATTTTAAGTTGGAAATGATACATAAAAATATACAGGAATAGATTTAGGGTTATTCCTATATTCACATAATTCTCCCCTATTTGCATGCCGGCATGCAGAGACAGTTTATTTGATTCACCATGATACCCTCAGGCCTTGCACACTCAAATGTCTGTGGAATAAATGGCATAATAAACCTGTGTGTGTGTCTGAACTGGAACCCTAGTAGCAATGCTTTTGTAAGTTACCCTCACATTAATGAAGTATATTGTTTACCTTTTCCTTGTGAATTGACTGGAGGCTTACAGAGCAGACCATCAGTTTCACACAAATCATACCCTTGTCTCCTCCCAGTGACTGCAGTTCTCTTGGTATCACTTACCTACTGTTCTTCCTCCCTGTGGTTTGGTTTCCATTCTTCCTTTCCCAACCCTCAGGAGTTTTGTCCTTAGGTAAATGCTGCCCTTTTGATCTAGAATGGTTGACCATTCTGTGGTCTGCTTACCTCACTAGTTTTGTTGTCCCCCATAGATACCTATCTATTGCTTAGCTGAGAATTGAGCCACGAGGATGAGTTCCAGACCTGAAGGGTGAACCAGGGTCATATAGTCTCGAAATTCCACCAGCCTCTATCTGATCAGTAAGCCTGGTCTTTTTTATACTTTTGAGTTTTGTTCCACATTTTCTCCCACTCTATCTAGGACCTTTAATGTGATTGATGCCTTTCAGAGCCGTTGGTAGTGGTAGCTGGGCACCATCTTGTTCTTCTGGTTTCAGGGTCATGGAGACTGATGGTTACATGTTCCATTAGTCCACTGGACTATTTGTTTCTAAGAGTCTTCAATCTTCATCATTCTTCTTTGGTATAGGCACAGAGAGACCAATAGTAGCAGCTTAACTGGCCACTTAGAGCTTTTAAGGTCCAAGTTACTACTCACCTAATAGGATGTGGAACACTGTGTTTGGGGACTATGTTATGCTCACTGACCTTAGTGCCCCTGAAACTGTGGTCCTGAGCCCCCAGGCTCAGGGACCCATTCTCTCAAAGAATCAGAATCAGGTCTTTCCATGGGGAAGAAAATGTTGAAAACTGGATCAATGAAAGTACCATTTTAAAACATTATGATTACATTTTCATGTGAAAACAAATAGAATATGCTAGTATGTAGCAAAACCAGGATTCAAACTAAGGGGCTCCTGCTCTAGTGGCCATATTTATAATCAATATGCTAAACACAGAGTAAGATTATGGGAGGCTTTTCCCTTTTTCACTGTTCTTCTAAATATCCTGTGATAAATTTATATATGCTGTTGGTATGTGCCATCGAGTCAGTTTCAACTCATAGCAACCCTGCTATAAGGGTTCTGAGGCTGAAAATCTTTATGGGAGCAGAAAGCCTGTTTCTCTCACATAGCAGCTGGTGGATTTCAACTGCTGACCCTGCGATTATCAGCCCTAATCATACCCCACTCCGTTACCAGGGCTCCTGGAACATGTGCAGAAGTTAAAAAGTATTGCTTGCTACACAGAAGACAAGGGGAGGAATGCAAGAGTTAAAGTGTGGTGACCACGCTCGACACCAATAAGGGGAAGTGAGGGAAAAACAGCAATGAAGTGGTGAGCTGAGCTCTACAACATTCAATAGACTTCTGTGAACCCGGGTGAAGACCTGGTTGGCCAACATGTGGCAAGACCTGGGGACTCTTGGGCCCAGAGTCAGTGACATAGCCACAGAGGACTAGAGTGGAGAGTGAAGCGTCCAGCTGATAAGAAGAGAGGGCATATGCATAAGAACATCCACACCTGCAGATAATTAATACCCACTTATCCTGGCTTCAGTGACTGGATAATCAGAGCTCAACCAGAAGTAAAAAGAAGAGGAAAAAAAAAAGTATTCTCATACAATTTGATGAACTTGACCTACACCTATGGAAGCAGTAGCTCAAAAGAGGGAACAAGTCCTTACAGCAAGAATCATTCCCACCCCCTCCACACACAGAGTAGACAGGGATGGGCAACTTGGACATTGGATACCCAAAATGGGGGGTGGGGAGCTACAAAGGCAAGAAGTGACTGGCTTACAAGCTTTCAAGAGGGAACCTAGATCCAGAGGGTGTGGGGGAAGGTAGAATCTCCAGTGAGTAGTATTCAATCTGTCTAGGCGGGGCTGATGCAATGAAATGCAGACGGGTCTCTTGTGATACAATAGTGAATAATTGTTATCAGGACTGATAGTGAGGGTCGGAAATGTAAAGGTAGATGTTTTATAGCAAGGAGGGGAGTGATTAACTTTTCAGTCTAGGAGCGGAGGTCCCTAGGACCATCAAGGGAGAAGAGCAGAGAGCGGGACCCTACCCAGAGAAGCAGTGATGCCTGAAATGGAGCCAGAGATGATGACGTGGAGCGATGGAGTAGCTGGAGACTTTAGATCCAGAAAGGGAGAGCGACTGTGTGCTGAAGACCTGGGGGATACGGGGGAAGGATTGCATGGAGGGGATTGTAACCATGGCAATGATACGATATATGATAGAACGAATGTAAAACTAATGTTCTCCAATGTAAAGTATCACATAATTCACAATAAAACATTTAAGAAAAAAAAAAAAGTGTACAGACCTAAATGAAGGATATGTTGAGAAAAAAAAAAAAAAGAGTTAAAGTGAATAGAGGCAAATACTTACTGTTACCATGGTTTGTTAAGTATAAAACTGATGGATCTGCTCCGTAAACCTTCACTCAATCCGCAATAAAAAGTTTTTGAAAAATAGATAAATAAATCCCTTGGATCAATTGTCAAATAAAATAGACAGGCTTACTAAAAAACAAAAAAGTGTTGCTACAAAACTAAAGAAACCTTTGTTAAACAAAAATATCAGAACATGCAGCTATTGCTCAACACCCTCCAGCTAGATCTATAAGCTTTTGAAGGCAGTGTTTACATCTCTCTAACCCCTCCCCAAAGAATTCTGCACTCTTTGCTTTAAACCACATCAAAAGGGCAGTTTGGCGTCCTCAAGGGACTCAAAATTTTCTCTTTTGAAATGTCTTTTGAATTTAGGGAACAAAAGAAGTCTGGAGGGACAAGATAAGGGCTGTAGGGTGGATGGAGCAAGAGTTCTCAACAAAATTCTTTTTTTTTTTTAAGGTTTTTATTGCGGATTGAATGAAAGTTTACAGGGCAGATCATCAGTTTTACATTCAACAAATCATACACCTTGTTTCATTACAATGATTATAATCCCCTCCATGTACCATCAGTTAACAGTATTTCTCTCTATTCACTTTAGCTTTTTTAAGAAACAAAAACAAAAAAAACACTTAGGCATATATAATAATTTACACCACCAAAGGACACTTTCTGTAAGTCTGCCTCCTGGCCACCAGCTCTCAGTCCCTCTCTTCCCATGAATCTAGAGTCCTCAGCTGCTCCCCCTTTCCATGACCCCATCTCTGCTTCCGTCTCTGGTATAGCTGCTTCTCTGGATAAGGTCCCACATTCTGCTTGTGCTCTTCTCCCTTGACGGACGATCCCATGGTCCTCTGTTTCTGGACTGTAAGATTAACTGCTCCCCTGTTTTTCTTACAAAACTTCTACCTTTACCACTGTGACAGTTACAGTTAGTCATGATAACAATTATTCACTATTGAATCAAACGAATCTTATCCCCATCTCTTTTCACCATACCCATCTAGACTATTCAGTGGGGACTTTCTTCCCTTCCATACTCTTAAACTAAACTCCCTCATTTTAGGTAGCCAATGTCTAAGTTGCCCGTCCCTATCTACCCTGTGTACAGAAGGGATAGCACTGATACTTGATGTGACGACTCCTTCACTCTCTGTTGGTATTTAGAGTTACTATCTCCATGAGTATAGGTCAGGTTCACCAAATTGTAGCAATTTATCCTTGTTTTCTTTATCAAAAAAAAAAATTTTTTTTTTTTTTTTCGGTAATCTTCCTCTAGT